TCAGTGTCCTTCCTGTCCAATAGAAAGAAAGCACATCATCAACTCAAAGGATGTCACGAAATATTGGATACAGGTATTTATTGTAATGGTTCTCTTTAGAAGAGAAAAAAAGTAAATTTTACAGGAATATATTGTTCTGTTAAAGATGCTGATTGTGGATGAAATCTTATCTGTTGTTTGGTTTGGCTAGATGTATGCTGATTGAATTTTACTAGCCCCATTTCAATCTAACCTCATGAACTCAAAAAGTGCATCCTTCCGAATGATTTTAGAAGGAATGTTTCAAATCATGGTCCATAAATTTGAGGGGAAAAGAGGATAAAGTTGTACACAGAAAAATATAGAAAAGAGTTATGCCCTAAGATATAGGGATTTGGAAAAGTATGATGAATAATTTCCATAGGTGTATAAAGGAATGACTTGAAAAAAAAAACTATTTTATCACGAAGACGCCAATATAAGTTGGGAGAGACAATGGGGATGACCTAGTTTTTTTTTTTTTTAAAGCAGCACGGGTCATATCATGGCAATAATTTTTTGTGTATGTACTTTCTCACTAAGAAGACTTCAAGTCTTGAGCAGCAATTGACCATTTCACCAAGTTCACTGAAACATTTATTTGTATTGTAAGATATAGATATGTGACTTGGTAATTAGGCACCTGTTCTATATTGTTTTACTGTTATGTAGTTGTAATATTTATGTATAATTATGTTATTTTTTTTAAAAGAAATACTGTTCATGATAAACAGACTCACAGAGTTTTAGTTTAGTTTCAAAATTTACATGTTGAAGGTACATGACAATGAAATTGAGTCGTCTGAAGCTAAAGGTACCATAATAAAAGGTTCATCATCAGAGAGTGTTGGAGACAGTGAGTCACATCCCAAAGGTATTAACCAAATTTTCTGGTCAAATTCTCTGTTTATTTCACGTATTATGCTTGACTTTACACAAATAAGAGAGCTTTATTTACAAGTCTTGTATGCAAAACTTTTTTGTGCAAATAATATTTGACGTCCTCGTAAATATTGTATTTTAGTCAAATGCACAGACACATGCAAACTTTATTTAGAAGTGGCAGATTCATAGTAAAACGTTTTATGTGTAATTTCAAATGAAAAGTAGAGACTATAAATTAATACCGAAAACTAGAGATATTATGTATAATAAATAATCTACTATTTCAATTTTTTAAACTCGCACAGCATTTCGTATCTCCAAAGTACAAAGTTTTTCAGGCTTGTAACACCACTTTTTAAAGGAGGGTTGGCCATAAAAATGCCCCAAAAATATTTTACAATCACAACAAAGTAGAAATTAAAGCATTTCAATTTCATCAAATCGGTTGGGTTCGATGGAGTAGGGGTAGAGGTATGTTAATCCCGGAAGAAAGCATTTATGGTATACTGTCTGAGATGAATGGGTCAAAAAGGGGAGGAAGGGTTAAAATGAAAAATCCACACAACGATAAAGCAAAATATCCTCCTCAAAAGTTAAAAATGAAAAAAAAATCAACTTCAGGCAATTGATGAAATTGTCAACTTTATGGAAGGATTTATTACTGCTTTATGATCAGAAGTATGTAAGCGTGGAGGAAGAATTGTTTTTTTTTCTCGTCTGGAAATGTAGAGACGTAAATTGTGTCTAAAAGGACCTTTGCTGAACTAAATATGTAAGGAAATTGATAAAACGAAATATATTTTGCCCTCTAGGTTGGTTAAAGATATGATTAATAAGATTATAATAAAGAAAATAAAATGTTTAATCCTTAGAAATCTGTGATAATGATCTTTAATGTTTCAAGAATATAAAAAGAAAAAAATATCTTAAAAAATATACGATGAATTCATACTTGATCTACTGTGTATGAAGTTTTGCTTCTTGGATGGACTTATTTTAACAGGATGTATTCATTTGCAAAAATATAAATATATAGAAAGCAGAGGTGTAAAGGTGGGTAGAGTCTATAACATAACCAAGTCATTTTTCTGGGAAAATTATTTCCAGTATGCTTTCTTCTAATATAGAGTATGTTCGATCATCAATAGGTGGCATGGTTGAATATTCCTTTAAAGGGTTTTTATCACGTATCTAAATTTCTTTAAAATGAAACACTATCATATTCTTGAAACATATAATTATCGTTTAATTATGAAATAATGTTGAAAAAGGCCGTAATTAGACGATAAAACGCCCGTAAGATAGGGTCCTCGAAGTAAAAATCTCCACTAATTAGATAGGGGTCACGTGGTACTGAAACGTCATAGGTGTAAATGGTCAATAGAACTCGTAAAGCTTATCGTAAGAAAAAATATATTGAATAGATTTTTACGCTAAATTTATAGAATACACAATATGGCCAGTTGAAATTTTGACATCGACTATATTCTTTTGGTTATGGACGGTCAATCTTTTAGGTATGAACGTCTAGCAGAGAGAAATAACCAGAAAAAATGTCGACAATTGGAGAGAGGTCACCGAAGACGAAGCCGTTGACAACTCTGGACCTCTACTAAATAGATCGAATTACCGAAGTTTACTTCGTAAACATTTATAAATATGGGAATTTTAAATTCTCCTTCATTATTATTTTGATTAATTATATATAAATGAATCCTGTATATCTTCTATCTGTTCTAGCAGTGAATATCATGTACTAGAAATGACACTTCTTCAATGCCGCCGTACGCCATTACGAAGTTCACAACATTCCTACTAAATTCTGTGCGACTTTCAAAAAATGAGTGTTTGTCATTTATTATTTTTTTTTAAAGGTATCTTTCCTTAAAATATTTTATAGGACAGAAAAAAAAATCGTGATCGATCGGGCAAAAACGATTGTTTTGAATGGAGATAAACGCCATCGCATTTGCAGAAAAAGACCCCCCTTTCATCTCTCGAGCAAGTCCAGGAAATGTGGAAAAAATATCTTCCTAAAACCTTTCTTGTGCACATTTGTGGATCCTAAAGCCATAAATTATACTTTACTAGCTGTCAATTATCCAATTATTACTTAATTATTTTTAACAGGTTTAATAGACACAACAAATGAGCCCTTTTGTATACACAATAAGTACTACGCTTGACCAGGATTGACACCTATGACGTCAGAGCAATGGCGCGTAACATCGGCGATCAAAATATGCATATTGAGAAATTCAAACTTTGAATCGCTGAAACATCAAAAATATCAATTTTCTAGCAAAGATTTTTAAATATATGACTTTAATAGCATGTAAACTTTGTCATATCAAAAAATTTTGAGACGTGATAAAAACCCTTTAAGGGAGTCCCCTCGGTGAAATAAAAATGCTCTTGGTATAATTTTACTTGCAATATGTAATTAGACTATTGCAATTTCATTTTCTGGCAAGTTGTTACGATAATCTTGTTGTATCATTAAATAAAATTGATGATATAAAACAAAAAATAAAGAATTTTAATCAATAACCTTACTCTTTTATGCTGTAATTGTAGACAAAGTATTAAGCGTCCTATGCGTCTTTATTCATATTGAAATTTGACATCACGTGTCAAAGAAAAAAAAAAGTAATTGATGAGTCCATCAATACAAGTTTGTTGCATTATGTGTATCTAAACCTCTCTATTTACTTGCAGTGCATTGAACAGTGCCGATTTCTTATGTATCTATACAGAAGTGAATCTCCTCTGCTTACACTTTTACATCTTTTCATTGGATATATTTGAAAAAAGAATAATTTAATGATTTCTTAAATTGTCGTTTAAAGGGTTTTTATCACGTTTCAATTTTTTTTTTTGATTTGACAAAGTTTACATGCTATTAAAATCATATATTTAAAAATCATTGTTAGAAAATTAATATTTTTGATGTTTCAGCGATTCAAAGTTTGAATTTCTCAATATGCATATTTTGATCGCCGATGTTACGCGCCATTGCTCTGACGTCATAGATGTCAATCCTGGTCTAGCGAAGTACTTATTTTGTATAAAAAGGGCTCATCTGTTGTGTCTATTAAACCTGTTAGAAAATAATTAAGTGATAATTGAATAATTGACAACTTGTAAGGTATAATTTATGGCTTTATGGTGCACAAATATGCACAAGAAAGGTTTTAGGAAGAATTTTTCCCCACATTTTCTGGACTTGGTCGAGAGATGAAAAGGGGGGGGGGTTTTCTCTGCAAATGCGATGGCGGTTATATCCATTCAGAACAGTCGTTTATGCCCGATCGATCACGATTTTTTTTTTCTGTCCTATAAAATATTTTAAGGAAAGACACTTTTATAAAAAATAATAAATGACAAACACGCATTTTTTAAGAGTCGCACAGAATCTAGTAGGAATGTTGTGAGCTTCGTAATGGCGTACGGCGCCATTGAAGAAGTGTCATTTCTAGTACATGATATTCACTGCTAGAACAGATAGAAGATATACAGGTTTTATCTATCTATAATTAATTTAAATAATAATGAAGGAGAATTTAAAATTCCCATATTTATAAATGTTTACGAAGTTAAACTTTAGTAATTCGTTCTATTTAGTTGAAGTTCCGAGTTGTCAACGGCTTCGGCATATTTTCGGGTTATTTCTCTCTGCTAGACGTTCATACCTAAAAGATTGACCGTAGATAACCAAAAGAATATAGTCTATGTCAAAATTTCAACCGGCCATACTGTGTATTCTATTTATTTAGCGTAAAAATCTATTCCATATATTTTTTCTTACGATAAGCTTTACTAGTTCTATTGACCATTGACACCTATGACGTTTCAGTACCACGTGACCCCTATCTAATTAGTGGAGATTTTTACTTCGAGGACCCTATCTTACGGGCGTTTTATCGTTTAATTACGGCTGTTTTCAACATTATTTCATAATTAAACGATAATTATATGTTTCAAGAATAAAATAGTGTTTCATTTTTAAGAAATTTAAATACGTGATAAAAGCCCTTTAAGTATATGTATCTCTAACAATACATTCCATATCTTCAAACACTTTTTTTCTGATTTAGATAATTTTGCAAAGATTCTGAAGTTATTGCAAGTTGGAACTGATGCAGTTAGAATCTGCTTTGATAAATTCTTCCCCAAAGAGAATCTAGAAAAGACTCTGAAAGATAATGAAACAGACATGAGAAGAGGACAGTACCTATTCAAGCCACCTCAATTAGAGATTCTTTTCCCTCCTCGAGGTACTTAATGGATATTTTTCCTTTGATGATGAATGTTACCTTCTTTTATCTATTATTCACAGTTATTTGTGCTTGATATATAACTTTTGTAAAACTATAAGTTCAGGATCCGGTTGCACGAACTTTAGTTAAATTTAACTGGCCGTTAACTTTGCGTTAACTCGACGTTAAATTTAACGGCGCGTTAAACCAGTTGCACAAAAGTTAACTACAAGTTAAAGCTAAATTAATTTTCTGATTTAACTGAAAGATTTAACTGAGGCTACCTAGGTACATTAAATATTTAATTAAAAAATAAAAATCAAAATCGCAGGCTTGTTATCATTTCAAAACTTGTTAAAATGGAAGGAAGAACTTATACAGAGATATTAGAAATGTCTGATTTGAGCAACATGCAAATTTAATCCCGATTTCGATTTAGGCAAGATTGTATTATACATGTATATACTGCGGATATATGTTGCGATATTCTCTGCAAAGAACAACAAAACGAAATCATTCCATATGAGTGGAGATATGGGTACTTTTTTTTTATCCGATTATGCATGCAATAAATGTCATTATATTTTATGGAAATGATCATCATTTTAAAAATATTTTAACGTCAGACAATTAATCGAAAAGTAGGTTAATCGTTCAATTCAAACTTAAGGCACGTAAAACAGGGCGGGGGGTTGGGGGTTGTTGTTGTTATTTTTATTATTTTCAATTTCCCCTCCCAAAAATCAACGCCTCGTGTTAGAACTTTTGATACTGAATACATACTTTGTAATTGCATTGTTTATACTGCATGTAAAATGATTATCTTTCAATGTAAACATTCATATTTGAAGTAACTATCTTTAGTAATACATTTAATATATTTGACCAATTTAAAATTCATATTTATAGTAAATAACCTTAGCAAAACATTTATGAATTGACGGCATTTTGATTATGACGTCAGAAATATTTCACCATAGGTAAGGGAAATGCGCGTGTAGAACGATTTTGACAGAGAGTTAACTATAAGACATCAATTAAATGTGAGTTAGCTAATTCATTTTTAATAGACTTTCGAACAACATTTTTTTAACTGACAGTTACGTAACGTCGTTAAAATTTTAACAGCTAGTTACGACACTAATTGGACGTTAATTTAACTAACGTTCGTGCAACCGGATCCAGGTGCTTTTTTTTACCCATTGAAGTTTCACCGTTGTCATACGGCACAATACTGTAGTTGTTGTCGTACATTTTTCACATTTCTTCCGGAGAACTACTGGGTTAGTTTTAATTCAAGTTAGCACAAGGTATTTTTGGCAGAAGGAGAATTATGTTTGTTCATTTAAGGGGACAAGGGTAAATATCAAAAGAAGGCAATAATAAAGGATTATTTCATTTTAATTTTTATTTATAAGAGCCAAGGGGCCAGGAAACATTTGATTTAAATTTAATATGTAAAAAAGAAGTTCAAATTCGACAATATGGCAACCCTCTTGTCTGGTGGAGCAAATTTCTGGGTTTGATTTTACATGAAAATTTAGAGATTTTTTTCAAGAACAGTAGGACATTTATTAGTTTTAAAAAGAGCCCTCTATATCCTGCATACTAAAGAGTTCTGATTCTGTGTTATTTTTATACAAACGCATATAGAGTAATCTACCCCTTCATCTTAAATAAAGTAAAGTGAAATGTAAAGTTTATTTCTAAATTTGTGATTAAATCTAGCATTCATGACATTTTATTATGGCAAGACGGATATATTGAACACTTCATTTGCAGGGATTTTACCCACTTAAGTAAAGAACAGTGATTTCTGTGCAAAAGTACTTTGTTGTCTTTGATCATTTTTCTGAAGGGGTTGGGTAATTGCAAGGTACTCTATGATGAAAACGTAATATAAAAGTTTGATATCTACATCTTAACACACTATAATTTTCTCATTATCGAAAAAAAAACCGTTTTTATTTGCCCGTCTTAAGACGGGACTTATTAGGTTACATGTATGGCATTCATGTCCGTCCGTCTGTCTGTCTGCTTTATTGTGTCCAGCTCATAACTTTAATGTTATTAGCTCAGAAATATCAAACTTTGTCAGCTGAAACATTTTGGGTAGAAAGTGTGTCGCACATTACATGTAAAAGTAGGTCGCTGTGACCTTTAATTAAGATGCTGTGGCCAAATATCCTGTTTGCTTCATAACTTGAGAACTAACTTGGGAACTATTAGACCTAGAATCATTAAGCTTCGCCAATTAATGCATCTTAGGTAGAATGTGAGTCGCACCCTACTTAGAGGTCACTGTGACTTTTCATTTAAGTGAATTAAAAACAAATGTTTTTACTTCTAAATTGCACTATTCCAAACGATTTAAATGTATTGTAAATCCTTATAAAAACAGATAAAATTAAAAAAAAAAAACTTTTTTCATTATATACATTAAAGCAATCTATAACAAATGTAATACGAGAAATTTCATGTCTCCTATAGGTGTAAATATCAAGCACTGGTCAAGGAGAATTTTTTTATTACAGAAAATTGCATGTCAAATTTGAGATAAATTAATGAGTTTAGTGTGATGGAGATAACTGGTAGAGCATCTCTGATCAAGCAGATGTTATCTATATCCCTTGGCAATTGGGCAAAGGAAATTGATTGTGTTGGATTAAATAGTTTTTGTTGACTAGCCTATCTTTCAAAATAAATTTGGTGTAAAATAGTTAAAACTAGTTTGATATTGTATAATATAATATAAAATAATTTGATATTGTATTTTATTTTTTTTAATTTTAATTGTTATATCTTTACAACAAATAGCAGAGTGTCTTTATGGCACGCCAATTGCTTCAAAATTATTTTCTGCACAACGATCGCGATTTTATACACGAGCTTGATGAAAAATATACACAAGTAAAATAAAAATGCACGTATCGGTAAAAATTGCACATAGTTTGAAAGATTTTAACACAAACATAACGAAAAATACACGAATCCGAAATTTTTTACACGATTAATGGGTATAAAATGCACAAACGTAAAATCAAAAACTGCACGAGCAGAGAAAACTAAAAATTACACAAACAATTTTACTGCGCATACAGCTGCGCATATCATTATTATGCACATAGAATATTCATTGTGTTCTTGGTTTTCTGTACTCTTTATCTCTTCTTGAATGCTGGATGTAATCGAGAGAAAATGGCGTTGACGATGATATGCATGTTTGTTTGCTTCTTTATTTCTTTGCTAAAACTCGATCCGATTTCTAGCTAATGCCAATCACACGAATGAAGTGTTTTTTGTGAACTGTGTGAAAAAAATTAAAAGTTGTTCGGAGATATTATATTTTTCTTATATTGACCGAGATCCTAGCCAAAATATGGAGGTATTATATGATGCCGGACATAAATTGTGACAAGAAAGAAATCGCATGTTTGTGTTATAATGCGGGGGAAAAAGTACCATTGCATATGATGCACACGACTCTGAACTAAAAGTAACACAGCAGACTCTAAATTCCTAACGATAAACAGATCTTGCTTTAAAAAATGATAGAATTATTAATTTATTTTTTTAAATATACGCTCTATACCCTTTTAAAATTATCTAACTTATAGATACAACTTTAACGGAAATTACTTGTATAAAATAAATTAACACATGCATAATAAAACGATTAATAAAGAATTTATTTCGGTACTTCTCATTTGTACTAATTATGATTTCATCTGAGCAGATTTTTTTTTCATTTGGGAGTTAGCTGGATATATTTTTTTTTATTTTCAAAAAGATTAAAAAGTGGGGATTACCTGACCTTAGATATACACAGTATGTTTTTAAAGTCAAACATAAAAAAAATATTTCTAATTATACATGTATCTTTACTTATAAAATATGAGGATATCAATTTTGGTTAGATATCTGTAGCCTACACTGTTATGAATTCCTTCAAAAACTGCTCAATAAAAAAAACAAGACATTCCTAAGGGAAAGCGTTACCCTCATTCGTAATGGTGATTACTTGATAAATGTTTTCATTTTAATAAAAAGGACCAGATAAAGGAGAAATATATACTCTATGTGCTTTATATACATGCGGTTTTGTGTTTTGTTACTTAAAATTTGTCCAAATGAAATAACAAAACTCTACTCAAATGATCCTGGCACCGGTTAAACTAATGACATTAGTGGCGGATCTGGTTCGTGGATTGATTGAGTCGCAACATCTGAATCTATGTATTTATTAAAGTTTCAAATCGTTGGACCATAATGACACGACAGAAATTTTAAAACATAGTGAATTACTAAATACATCTACGTACAATGTTACAAATAAGAAAATGGGAATGGATATTATAATAAATAGAAAGAACATAGAACGCGTTTTATCGCTCTTGAAAAATGCAAATAAATCATGTTCTTTATGGAGCTCGAGGTTTGACAAAGATTTTCCAAGAAAACAAATTTTCTTTTCATTTCGAATTTGTATGCGTAAAAAATTTTAATTATTATCCGAACACTTGTTTTTTTGTAATAACACTTTTTTTACCCAAAGATATAGTCATTATAAAAAGAACATGACTGTATAATTATAAAATGAAAATAATCTTCAATAACAATCAAGGAACATTTTTCATACAAGCTCCACTTTTTAAAAGATTATTCATGTGCATATCTAACATTTTTGAAAATTCAGATTATGAGTTAAAAAGCCTAATCTATGCAATATGAATTTTGGACGTACATATGTACAAGTAATTAAAACGTTTGCTTTATAGCAATATTGTACAAGTGTATCAATGGCATCAACCATGTTTTGTTTTTACTTCGAGCATGACGACGAATAAATATAAGAAAACATATGATGAATATAAACTTCAAGAAAGTTTTGTTTTATTACCGTGTGCAAATTTATTATTATCAAAATCTGCATTGAAAATAAATATGCATGTGTAGCCAAGTCCCAGCTAATTAAGTTCATCTTGTACATCTTCTTGAATTTGGTCTTACAATATCGTTACAAATCAGTTAAACTGCAATCCTGATTTCGATATATAGACTATTATATGTACCCTTAAATTCTTAGAAAATATTTCAGGCACGTAGCATCAGTAGGGACCTGCCTCCCTTTTTCCCAAACATAACCTACTTCTATTGTAAATGTCCACTGAAAAGCAGGTTGCCCCCCCCCCCCCTTTGTTGTAGGATAGTTTAAATCAAAGTAATTTGGTATTATAATGTGTTTCGAAAAGAAAGTGGAAGGTGGAACCCCCCCCCCCCCCCCCCGAAATAGGATTTTCCAGTTTGGACACTTTACCTTTTTTGTTGCTTGTCAAGGTTTTTTTCAGGTAGGTTGTACAAAAAAAAAAATCTGGCTGCCCCCCCCCCTTTCAAAAACGATACTACGTGCCTGTATTTTATAATTTTAAATTTTCTTCACTCCTTTATATGCATTTTAACTATTCAAAATAGACTACCGCCGGTACATTAAAAACAACATAAAATTAAGCTTTATTTCACAGAAGTAAAACGACTGTATAATTTTTCTACAGTTTCATGGAGTTTTATGAAATCACCACACGTTGCTGAAAAGTTAAGACTACATGTACTACTTTGTTACATACATATATCAGAAAGTGAGATATGCGTTTCAATATTAAAATTTCAGTTGCGCAATTATTTGCTCGATTTTCTTTACTGTTGACTTCCAAAAAGTTTTCGGTCAAATTCCACAACCCAGGTGATCGCAACATTGCTTCAAAATCTTTGTATGAATTGCCAGTAATCTTTAATCAAAAGGTATTATTGGTGTGTGAAATAGCTATAAATCGATTAGCGTACAGGTGTCTTTCGTTCCAGAATCAGCAGGGAGGGATCTCTGTATGAAAAGGTCACGCATGCATATCCTTGATTATTACCAAAAGTACACTCAGTGGGTGGTGGAGGAGAAGAGTTTGATTTGTTGTTAACTCTCCTGTATTATATCACGTACATGTTGTTTTTATTTATTTTAATTTAGGCCTATATTTCATTGTTTTAAACTTTCAAAAGAAATTGCTATATAGATGTTGTATTCTCACTCGTGCAGTTTTCGTTTTTACGTTTGTGTAATTTTCTCACTATATCGTGTAAATATTTTGTTGATTGTGCAGTTTTTCTTTAGTTTGTGTAAATTTCAATAACTTCGTGTATATTTTCCTCACTTTGTGTAAGTTTTTACTTACTCGTGTAATTTTTGTTTAAGGTCGTGCAGAAAATAATTTTGAAGCAATCGGCGTGCCATATGTCTTGCCTCACTAAGATGAACTTTTTTTGTAGTCTTAAAATAAACATTATTTTGATGTTTTATTAGGCTGTAATTATAACATTGTTCATCAATATAGTTAATATACAATTTATAAAGATAGGTTGCAGACGGGTATTTGTTTAGCTCTTACACAAACAGTTGAGAAATAAACGATGTATTATTTTTATGATTAATATCTACACCACAGGAGATGTAAGTTTATCGATCATTATAAGGAATCGAATACTAGTAATCATTATAATCTTTGTATTTAAGTTGACATGATTTTCTTGCTTTCTAAACTGTTTATGATAATTAAACAATATTTGACGGACGTACATGTATCATGCTATGGTGGCGCAATTTATTTCTGAAGTGTATAGAGGAACATTAATTTGCAAGCATTCTTACTTGTAGGTAGTAAAACTTGAGGACAGATGATACAAACTTTTGTCAAAAAAATCTTGAAAATAACTACTTAAGTCATGTTCAAAGGAGTAAAATGAATAACTTTAACCGCATAGATTTTCATTGTTCACTAAAGGTTTCACAAAAATAGGATTTAAAGTGGCTTAAAGTTGTATAGACTAATAAGGATGGTTGCAGAAAGATAGAAATTTGAACATGATAGAAAGTTTATGCTCTATCCGTTTTCTGTTTTTAAACTTTCACCCTGTCCATAATTTTTGAGTGGTTAGAGCTATGGCTTTCATACTTCACATGTATACTCCTGACAAGACATTTCTTTGGGTACCAACATATTTGACCTTGGAGCTTGACCCCCTTTTGCAAAAAGTTACCTAATTTTAACCATGGTCATAACCATTGAACAGTTGGTGCTAGGGCTTTCATGCTTCACAAAATTTACAGAGTAACATTACTTTTGGATGATTATTAATATTTAACTTTTTTTAAGAATATGAAGCTTTATTAATGTTCAAAACATTTTTTGAAGGTGGATCCAACACTTGTGTATCATCTCTATCTATGGACATAACCATCATGTATAAATTATTGAGGAATTACTCTGACATTTCTCCTCCTGGGAGTGGATGGGGAAAGGAACCCAAAATAGTTCACATCGCAGAGAGTGATGACTTGGAAAGAATCCGTTTGTATAGAAATAAATACTTCCACCCTGGAAGTAATCTCGTAATAAATGATGATGTTTTCAACATAATCTGGGTGGACCTTTCTAAGGTAAGTTTAAGCAATATACAAGTTGAAGATAATTTTGCTTTCCACTTGTGGGAAAAAGTTTAATGACACAATTTGCAATGGACAAGGAAAAGTGAAACTACAAGTTTTTAAAGCTTCATTACATACAGTAGATTCAACTTTGATCAGATCATTAACCCTGGGGATAGGGCGAATTCACAAGAGGGGATCAAAATTTAACATAGGAATGTATCGGAAAAATCTTTCAAAGAACATCAGAGCCATAATTAGTCATACATGTATTAATGAAGAAGCATCCTCAGGTAATGTAGATTGAAGTTTGTTCAAATGATGACCCCGAGGATAGGGTTCGGCCACAACATGGGATCAAAGATGTACATAGGAATTTATATCAATAAATCTTTTAAAAATCTACTTCTCGAGAACAACAAAACCATGATTGGCCCTGGCATTGTACGTTAAACTTTGTTCAGTTGATGCCCCCCTTCAGGGTGGAGTGGGGCCACACTAGGGGATCAAAGTTGAACATACACGGGAGAATAAATAGGAAAAATCTTTTAGAAATATTTCTCAAAAACAAAAAAAAAAAAAAAAAAAAAAAAAAAAAAAAAAAAACAAACAAAAAAACAAAAAAAAAGACTAGTCATATTAAAAAAAAGCATGCCCAGGTGGTGTAGTTTGCAGCCAATTTACAGCTGTAATTAAAAAAAACCCCCAACTTTTTATAGAGTACCACTGGGGATCGATTAAGTGATGTATTCATTTCTCGGTCGTTAACTTTTTTTTTCTAGAGTAATATTGAGAAAGGTAGGAACACAAAAAGAAGTTCAAAGTCGTATCTAGCAATACATTGAAATTTTAAAAACAAGTAATGTATCTCTTTAAAAATACCTGAGAGACATCTTATACAATAGAAATATCAAGAAAAAAAATCGGATTGTACAATGTATCTTTATGTTTGATGAATATATTTTCTTTATTACATTCTATGTAAACGAAATTAATGTAATATTTTCGGTATATATACAAACTATTTTTTTAATTTTCAGGCCATACTCAGACTTAGTGCTGGCGTTTTGAAGAGAAGAATAAGTGAAATATAACTGACTGGATATAGGAATTTGATAAAAAATAAGCTTGATTACAGCGAACATTTTTAGAGAAAAGACTTGAAGGAAGGGATATCCTCATGATGACTATGCGATTTATTGTAGCCGCGATTCCAATGAGACAGACTGGGTATTCAGTATCCGATGAAATCTGACATCGTATTGTTTTGTTTTACCCGCTATGAATATAAATTCGAATTTCTTTAAAAGCAGTATAATATATTTAGGTTTGATGTAACTAACTGTATTTTGGCTAGTTGAAGAATTTTCATTTATTTTAATCGATAAGCGATGGAAATATTAGATGCATCTCCAACTGAAAACACACTTTTGAAGAAAAACATTGATCTGTTTTTTGTTGTTTTTTTTTATGTGAATCCTTTACGTACCTGTCTTATGTAAACATATGTGAGAACTACTTATGTCATGGAAGTCAAAATCAAAATCGGTGGGTGCCAAACACACAATAGTTCTTCTGATAGTGTATCTAAAACTTCACGTAGAAGATTCAGATCTTCATCATTACCTGATTTAAATAAACTTTGCGATCAATCAGTAGTACAAACTGAACTTGTAAAAATGGATGTGAAAGACACAGTCACCTCTGTCCCTGAACAGTTTTCTCATACTACTCAAAGTTCATCTGTTAATAGGGATCATTCTGAAATTGAAAACAATAATGGGGTTTCAGGTACGGCTAAGTAACCTCCTTTATCCAAACTCAAGGCCAAACTTTTAGTCTTCTTGAGCTGATATTCAATTCTTTGAATAGCCAAGCTTTCCTGGCAGTTAATACCAGTGCTAGCAGAAGCTATCAAACCTTCTATCGAGATAGCAGTCCAGTTTGTATTCAGCTCATTAACCAAAGCAATTCAGAATCAAGCTGAGATTATTTCTAAACAAAATAAGCAATCTGAAGATCTCTCAGGGCGGTTGAAAAATTAAAAAGAACAAAAAACTGAACTACAAAATCAAATCTGGAATCTAGAAGATACAGTAGACGACTTGGAACAATAGGGAAGGAGAACCTCCTTAAGATTTCATAATTGCCCGGTTCCTGATCAAGGCACAATCAATACCTATCTATAGAGCTCAAAGAGGAGGATATTTTTTAGTTACATCCCATTGGAAAACCCAACAAAGATTTCAATATGGAGTTTCCTCAATTGATTATCAGACTTTAAATTATAAAGGAATAAACAAACTAAGCTATATTCTTAGCAGACTATTATTTCATATCACTATAATTTATATTGAAACTACTTTTGATTTTCCTTTAAACTCTCCTATTACAATTACAGTATGTTTCTTGGAAAATCGTGTACATAATACATTTCTTTACATTGCTTATTTACAACGCTTCTGTCACTATGCGCCTTGTTGTCCTAGCGACACAGAGGTGTCATCTTTTTTGTATACTTGTTCACAATTTTTAGCTCTACTGGTCAGAGACCAGAAGAGCTTATGCGATAGTAAGGTGTCCGTCGTCCGTCCTTCCGTCTGTCTGTAAACAATTTTTCAAAATGCTACTCCTCCTACAGTTTTGGTCTTATTTCAATATAACTTAGCACACAAGTATAACTTGGAAAACAAATAGACTGCACTTAGATACATAATATAGTGCATCGGTTTTTGATTTCGATGAACGGTGTTGTCATGGTTACTAAAAATACTCCTGCTACAGTTTTAGTTTGCTTTTAATATAATTTGGCAGACAAAAAGACTATACTGAGATACATAATTTAATGCATCAGTTTTTGATTTCAATGAACAGTGTTGCCATGGTTACTAAAAATAGAAATTTCTGTGAAATTCCTTTAAAATATTACTCCTCCTACAGTTTCGGTCTGATTTCAATCAAATTTGGACACGATTAGAATACACTTCAATACATGATATGTATTTCGGTTTTTGATTTCAGTGAATGGTGTTTTCATGGTTACATAAAAATAGAAATTTCTATGAAATACTTTCAAAATGCTACCCCTCCTACAGTTTTTGTTTGATTTCAATATAACTTGGCTCAGAAGTAGACTTCATTAAGATACATAATTCTATTTATTGTTGCATGATGCAAAGTTTCAAAACCAAGTGCTACTTTTCCTTTGTTATACGTACAGACCAGTAGAGCTACAGTCTCATCAGAGACTTCTGGTTGTTTTCATTTTGTTTCCTTCATTATTGTTCAAATTTATTAGTCTGTTATCTTAACATATATGAAGATTTTGTTTGTTCTTTGTTTCTGTTTTATTACTCATTTTTTCAATTGGTCACAATTTATCTAACATGCATTTCAACCATTTCAAAAGTTGTCATTACAAGCGGCACCTTCAATTTTAGTCTTTTAATTGTCTGAAACTTACAATTTTTAAAGCTAATCACAGGTAATACAGTGTTGCAATATCGAGTCGCAATAGGAATCTATTATTTCAAAAACAGTTGCATAATTAAATCAATGATTTTCTGTATTTTTGATCTACATAATTAACTTTCGTTTTTATACATTGTGCACAAACATTTTGAAAATGTTTAAATGTATACTTATAACGGGCATGAAAAGCTTTGGTCATGTACATTTCTGCATGCAAGTCATTCATATACTACTTTTATTGTCTTGCGACACCGAAACTAATCCAGGTGATGTTCCTTTACATAGTTTAGACATTTTTCACCTTTACATTAGGAGTGTTAGAAACAAAATTGAAAGTTTGACAACGTTTGTTACCGACTTTGATATTTTATGCTTGAAGCCTTCTCAGAAACACATTTAGACGCTAGTATAAATTATTGCGATATTTCAATCGGGGGTTTTAAAACAATTTTTCGGAGAGACAGGAAATCTTATGGAGGGGGAATTCTTGTTTATATTTCTGAAATTTTTTCCAGCCATTAGACACGCTGACCTTGAACAGACTATAATAGATTGTGTCTGGTTAGAAGTGTGCGAACTTACCTGTTACTTTTTACTGTGCTGTGTATATCGCCCACCAAACAGTGATAAATCCTTTCTGAATGACCTTATGTTGACTATAGAGAAGGATTCTGATATTTCCAATAAATAGTTTTGTTAGAGACCTCAATGTTGACTTCGTTAATGTTCCTAGAACACACAATGTTATTGAAATTCTCCAACAACACAATATCACAAATACTATCCATGAAGCCACTCGAATCACGAACACTTGAACGTTTTAGACATAGACAGCACATAAGTGATCGTAAAGGGACATATATTTTTCTTAAATCAAGTGTTACCCAAAACAAATCTTAGGAACGAAAAGTATGGGTGTATAAAATTGCTGATATGGATAAACTTACAACTCCCTCATTGAAAATACTGATTGGGAAGATCTCATTTTTAATGCGCAAAATGTTAATCAGGCTACGGAATTTTTTGTTTCGATATTTATGAACATAGACAATGCATACAAGAAAAGTCTGTTATTATAAGGCCAAAAGATAAACCCTGGTTTGATTCTGCATTACGTTAGACTCATCGTATTAAAGTAAGATTCAGACGAAAAGCTTATAAAAGCGAAAAAGACTCTGATTGGGCAAATTTTAAACATTGTAAGAAATAAATTCAACAATGTTGAAAAAAAGACAATTGAAAACTACCGTAATAATATAGAATTACACCTTACAGACGCTAGTAAAAACAAATCGAAACTTTATTGGATATATATTATGTTTTTAATAATGAAATTAGTAATGTATGTATTTTTTAGTGAACAAAAAATTATTGATATTAAATCCATTCTTCAAACAAACAAGGCCATTGGTCCTGACAATATTAGTCACAAGATGTTAAAATCTGCAGAGTTTTCTAATGCCAAACCGCTTTGTTTTCTGTTTAATCGATCTTTGAACGAAAGTATTTTCCCCTCAGAATGGAAACTACATGTAGCTGTTGTACATCCTCTTTAAAAAAAAGCTTTCTTTGATGTCAAACTATAGATTCGTTTTGTTGCTGAGTTGTGTAGGGAAAATCATGGAACGAGTTGTTTTAAGTACATTTACTATAATATTCATGATAATAATCTCTTTTACAAATACCAGGTAGGTTTTCATCACCTGGTCACTCAACAGTACATCAGTTAATTTAAACATATGACGGTATTGTTAAATCTATTGATGGTGAAAAATTCTGTTTTACAATATTTTGTGGCCTTTCAAAAGCATTTGATCGTGCTTGGCATTAAGGTATCTTGTTTAAACCTAAAACATATGGGATAAATGGAAATTTGTATAAATGGATGGAAACCTATTTAGAATGTAGGTATTAAAGAATTTTATATAGTAATTTGTTATCATCGACTAAACCTTTGTATGCTGGTGTTCATCAGGGATTAGTTTTAGGGTCACTTTTGTTTTAATCTATGTGAATGATGTTGCTGACAATATGAATGCTTCTTGTATACTATTTGCAGATGATAATTCTTTGCAGCATTCATCACAAAATATGAAAATAATTGAAAGAGATCATAATGCACTGAAACTCAAAAAATGGTCAATGAAATTCAATCTCTCTAAAACTAAAGCAATAATTTTCGGTACAAAGAAAAACATTGTATATCCAAAACTTTTTTTTTTCAACAATGTCAATCGAACTTTGGCTCTGAGCACAAACACCTTGGAGTATTATTTTCACATGATGCATGTTGGTCACCACATATTTAAAATTTACTGGCTAGTGCCTACAAAAAAATTGGCTCTCTTAAAAAAGAATAAATTTAAAATAAATCGATCGCAAATACACGTCATATATAAGACAACAACTTGAATATGCTTCTGTGATATGGGGCTGATGTCAACACAATGATAATGATAAGCTATAAAAACGGCAACTCTATGCTGCAAGAATTGTCACAGGTTTAACAACCTGTCACAGGTTTAACAACTACTTTTCTAAAATGTAGATTACAGACTTATAAATCATCATTTATTCCTACTGTAGTTAATGAATGGAACCCATCACCACTTGAAAATGTCGCATTTTAAATCAAAAATAAGTATTAAAAAATTGTCCAACCATCATATTTTTCATATGGTAACAGGCGACTGAATGTTCTCCATACCAGCCTTCGACATAATTGTGCATTGAATAATGACCTTTACAGATGCAGTTTAATCTCAAGCCCTTTTATGCTCATGAGATAAAAGGGAGGATACGTATCATTATTTTTCTTATATGTCCAAAGTATATAGAAGCCAGAAAATTTTTTTTGGACAAATTCCTATTGTTTGAAATATTTCACATTTTAGATATACATGTCTTATAAAGGGGTTGTTGATTCATAGATTGCTGTGGA